AACTCCTCCTAAACGGTAAGAGGTAGGGCCACCAAATTTGCTACACAGCTTCCTCTTACCGTAATTTAAAGCAAGGACAGGGTTTGGTTGTTCCAGGACAACGAGAAGCCATGGGAAAAGGCGAGAACTACCCTGCTGTGTCTACTGGGGGCAGCTGTACTACAAATGGAGTGGCTAGCAGAGCTGGGGTTCTGCCATCTTGCTTGGCAGTACACCAGTAAGTAGCCCCCCTGCTCCAAACCCTTTCCCCACTCCCAGCTCTTGGTCACTGCACCAAGGAGGGGGAGAAGAAGGTCCTTAATGCCTTGTGGGGTTCTGTGGGGAGAGAACAGGCCCCTGGTAGCTGGGGAGGTCTGGGGGCAGGAGAGTGGGAAGACAACAAACTCCTGGTGATGTGGGACACTCTGGCAGCTAGGCATTAAGTTCCCAGTACACAATTTTCTCCATTCCAGAATGCCATCCTTATTCCATAATTTTTGCATCTTTCTTCAAGGTCCCAGAAACCCATGTAGCATTGTTTGGTGTCTACCCTCCAAACAAGAAGCATAGATTCAGCACAGCTCTGTACACTTGTCATGGATGTTACAAATATAGATTGCATATTTTTCAGATATGATGAGAACCACAGATTGCTTAGAGACATAATGAAAAACAGTTCCCGGTTGCTGGCATTCATGGAGAAGGGTGCCATTTTGGGAGAGCAGTGGAGGCAGCAGCCATGCTCTCCAGGATGTGGCTTGCTTTTGTTCCTGTTCCTCAGAGTATCAGGGAGCATGGGGAAAACACTTGCATTCACTGCATGTCTCTCACTCCTGGCTGGTGGCGGGAGGGGGCAAAGGAGTAATTCTCAGAATCCAATACTTTCCACTTGCTCCCTGATAGTCAGGGGAACAGGAAGAAAAGCAAGCTGCGTCTTGGTACATGCGGCTGCTGCCCCTCCCCCCACTCTCCCAAAATGGTGCCTTTGTTCCTGGAGCACCTTTGAATATTGGAGTGCCACTTCTGGCCCTGAGAAACAAGCACTGATTGAACTTATCATAATGCAGGTTGGGGAAGTCAAGCAAGGACTATAGAACTTTTAGATGGGAAAGGTCATATTCTTGAATCTGTATGCCAAGCTTGTCCTAACCCTCCAGCATATTGACATTAGAATGAGAGATGCACTGAGAGAAATGCGTGGAGAAATGAGTGGAGACTGCACTGTGAAAACTTGCAATGCCGCATTGCTATCTGTCGGAAGGAAATCATTTTGGATTTGGAAAATCCACAGAGGAGACCATTGTCATGTAAGAGTATAGGGCCATTAATCATCTCCTACTACACAGGACTGTGACTCTCAGAAATGTGTAGGACATAGGGGATGGATTTGCAGTGTTGTTTCCAAACTATGGTGGGGCAATAGACTGTGTATATATCCCTATTTTGGCACCAGCCCACCTTGCTACATAGTACATCAACAGAAAGGGCTGATTTTTCTATGGTTATGCAATCCTTGGCGGATCACCAGGGACGCTCTACCTTCCAGTGTGGCTGGTCAGGGAAGATGCATAACACTTGCTTATTTAAAAACACAGGAATGTTCATAAAGCTGCAGGCAGGGGCATTCTTTCCCAACTAGTGGATTACTGCTGGTGGTGATGAAATGCTAATTATGATCCTGGGGAACACAGCTTATCCTTTGCTTCTCTGGCTTTTGAAACTATCCACTGGGCACTTTGACAGCACTACAGAAAGATTCACCTTCTAGCTCAGCAGGTGCAGAAGGACAGTTGAATGTGCTTTTGGTAGATTTGATAGGACACTGATAGTGTTACTTGCTAGTTTGGATTCCAGTGAGAAAAAATTCCCAATAAGTGTAGTCAAATGTTGTGTCCTACATAATATATGAGAGACAAGGGAGGGAAAGCTGCCGTCAGAGTGGAGCAGCTGTCTGTGCCTTGGACATGTAATTTTTCAGGTTGTTAGAAATTGTGCCATGTTTGATGAATATGTATACATATAACATATCTTATAATGAAGCTATGAATTACCATGTTATCCTGTGCAGTTATAATTTACATGGTTTTTCACTGAAACTATGACATATGCACTGCTTGCTATACCTATACTGATACGAGTTGTTGTGGTCTTGAACATACAAATTCTGCAGCTCTGTACACTTACAAGTGCAGGCTGCTTTGAGTCCTACCATGCATTCTGCTCTGTGGTTGGAGAACAAATAAAGATGAATTTATTTTCAAAAAATGGAATTGTATTGTCTGACAAAAGTAGCAGGGGAAAAATGTGCAAATGAAAAAAGGATAGTACAATACAAACTTCAAACATGAATTATCTAGAATGGTAGCACATAGATTGGTCCATTCAATGCAGAAATGCAGTCCATTTTGGCTACCCTGACACCAGCTCTGCCTCTTCTAGGTCAGTGTATGTGAAACTGTCTCTGTGGAGTAATAGGGATTTGACCTGTGGTGTTAAGTAGACTGTTGCAGGGTGTAAGGTGCTGCCACCGTGGAGTTCTCCAGAAATTGCTAAGAGCGGTGAGTCTGTGATTGTTAGGCCTTTCAGTCAACTAGAGCAGTGTTTCTCAACCAGTGGTACAAGTATCCTTAGGCGTACTTGAGAGAAGTCTGGGGGTACGTCAACACAATTGAAATTTGGAGAAAACTGAATTTTTGTTTTAAGTTTTATAGCGCTTTATTATTTTTGTACTTTTTACACCCAAAAATTTCATCACCCGCCCTGCTACGATTAAGTTGTTTAAACAAATGTGTTGCAATGGTAGAAAAAAATGTTGTGTGTCTGAAAACTATAGGTACTGGGGGTACTTATATTTTTTTTTTGAAAAAGGGGTACTTTATAAAAAAAGGTTGAGAAACACTGAACTAGAGGATGCAGCATTTATGATTGCTGCCTGAAGATTCCCATTATAGCCTGGGGAACTGCACTCTCCGTCTCCTTTTCTGGTGCAATTCTCAGGTCATTCTCCATTTTCTCCTATCCTCTCTGTGCCTCTTATTGACATGTCATGTTGGCTAGCCAGGCCCTTTGCTTGCAGTCTGATGCAGCCCTGGCTTGCAGGAACTCACTGGGCATCAGTGTCAGGCAGCATGCTGTGTGTGTGGAGGAGCCACCGCTACAGGCCACAATAGCAGCACACATAGATAAAAAAGACAGCTGTATCATTGCATTTACAGTCACAACAAAAAGTGAAAGATAAGTTTCAAAACTCCCTTTCTGTTTTGTGCTCAGTGCCACTTGACAGTTTGTCTTGCCAGCAGAAATTGGTCCAATAAAAAAATATTACTTCATCTGCCTTCTCTCTTTTAAACTCCCTTTCCTCAGTTCCATCATTATTTGTAGTAAGGTGTTTACTGACACTTCAGCTGTGGAGTGTCTCTGCCTAGCACTACTCTCCTGCTCCCGCCATGGAGAATATCATCCATGAGAGGCCGGGAGGGAAGGGAGCGGGGGCTGATAGCGAAGGGGGGGGGACATTAACACTTCTGGTTGCATGAAACAATTTGGTCTCTATTTTGGAGGGGGGGAGAATGCATGTCAGGTAATGGCACTAAGCAGTGGCATTATTTTCCATAGGCAGCAGTGATTCTAGTTGATATCTCACACCTGGGAGTCACCACAGAGACACAGCTGCTGCCTGCACTGTGCCATTGCTGCTGGGCCCATATGTTGCTAGCCTGTTCACTGCAGTGGAATCAGCTGACCTCATTGCTGAGCGTTGTGGGAAAATGCCCTGCCACAGCAAAAGAAATAAGGCAGCCCTTCCTAGAACCCTTAGAAAAAGGACTGCAGAATACTCCATGAAAGGTTCGTCAAGATCTTTCAGGAGCGTACAAGGGACGTCCTAATATAAATCAACATGGTTTGCCACATGCCCTCTGTCCCCCACCTAATCCTGCAGGGGAATGAAAAGCAGAGAACAATTCTACCTCTGGGTTTGTATTGCTTCCTCTTCCTGTAAGAGAAAGACAGTTAAAAGTTGATACTTGTGTCTTGGGTAACTTGGGATGGGCTAAGTGCCATATTTGTTTCTAAACACTGTGAGGGAAAATGCACTTACCTGAGGTGCCTTCCCCTGGATTGGGTTTACCCATGTTTCATAGAATCCTAGGGCTGGAAGAGACCTCAGGAGTCATCAAGTCCAGCCCCCTGCCCAAAGCAGGACCAATCCCAAATAATTCAACCCAGCCAGGGCTTTGTCAAGCCAGGACTTAAAAGCCCCTAAGGATGGAGTTTCCATCACCTCCCTAGGTAACCCATTCCAGTGCATCACCACTCTCCTAGTGAAATGTTTTTTCCTAATACCCAATCCAGACCTTCCCACTGCAACTTGAGACCATTGAGCCATGTTCTGTAATCTGCCACCATTGAGAACAGCTTGACTCCATCCTCTTTGGGACCCTCCTTCAGTTAGTTGAAGGCTGCTATCAAATCTCACGCCTCACTCTTCTCTTCTGCAGCATGGGTGGTTGGTGAAGATAGGGCTGGGGGAGGCAAGCCTCCATCCCACTCCCAGCCCTGCCCCTTCTGCTGAGGTCCCACCCCTCACCATGGGGAGAGGAGGAGGGTGAGCGCATGCCTTAGTTTCCCTGGCTCTGGGGCACTGGGAAAGTAGAGGGCATGTGGCTCCAGCCTCCCTGGCCAGGAGCACCAGGGTAGGGCAGGTGCTCGGAGGTAGCAAGGGGGGAGGAGTGTAGGCAGGGCCAGGCTGGTGGTCTGGAAAGGCAATGCCTCCCCCTGCCTAGGATACCAAAAGCCCCTGTTCTGCAGACTAAATAAGCCCAGTTCCCTCAGCTTCTGCTCATAAGTCATGTGCTCCAACCCCCTAATAATGTTTGTTTTTTTCCTTTGCTGGACTCACCAATTTGTCCACATCCTTTCTGTAGTGTGTGTGTGGGAGGGGGGAGGCGGGGAGGGGACAGCACCCCAGATGTGGCCTTACCAGTGCCGAATAGAGAGAAATAATTACTTCCTTCAATCTGATGGCAATGCTCCTAATAATGCAGCTCAATATACCATTAGCCTTCTTGGCAAACATACTATTTCAGGCGAGACGCTTTCAGCAACTTGTGTATCTCTTCTTGAGCTGGAGACTGTCCCTGAAAGAGAGTAATAGTAACTACAGGCTCTTGTGACTATACTACAAACAGATTATGTGTAGATTCTTATAATTCTTTGCAACCGACCCTGATGGGGATTCTTAAGGGAATCCTTGTTAGATCTGTTTCTACGGCTAATTTGCTAAGTAATATTGCCATCCTGTGGTGGAACTGGTAAGTTGCAATTGTACAGTTTTAGTTCAGTTTTGTGTACTTTTAATTGAAGGGTGAGGTACAGATTGGTCCTCCCTGATCCAGTACCCTTGGGACCTGACCAGTCCCAAATGAATTAATTTGTTGGATCAGGGAGGTCCTTTGCTACCAGCCCCCCAGCCTGTTGCCAGCTCTGCTTCTAGCCCCTGCTGGTCACTGCCACTGGCCCCAGCTTGTCTGGCTGCTGGGCTGCCGCGGCTCCGGTCCCCCTGCTGGGCTGCCATGGTCTCGGCCCTTGCTCCACTGCTGGGCTTCTGCCAGCTCTGCCAGGCTCCCCCCTCAGCAGGGCTCCCAGCCGCTGGCCTTCCTGCTGGACCATGGATGTTGCCAGACCAGAGAGTCCTGGTTTAGGGAGATACAACCTGTACTGGCAAATGGAGGTAGAGGTATGTAATAGGCAAGAAACTAAACCAGACTATACCAAAATAGGGAGGAGGGAGGAAAGGAAGAAAACAAATACAATAACAAAGCAATACCCTAAAATACCTGATCATGGATATTTAAAAAGCACTTTAAGAAGTCAATGAGGTGATCCCTTTGTCCTCCGAAAACATTCCAGTGGTCTTTTGGGAGTAAAAAACTAACCAAATGAAGGAATGTGATGCATGGTGACTAGGGATGAAAATTATCTGAGCTTTGTTGAGACTTTGGGTTATCCAGGAATGGATGAGTGAGGTTCTGTGGCAAGAAATGTGCAGGAGGTCACAATAGATCAGGGTGGGGAAACTTTTTTTCTATTGGAGCCATTGACACACCAAAAAAATCAGTTGCTGGCCACACACAACCCCATGGGGGACATGGAAGCTCAGGGCTTCCCCATGGCTCTGGGGTTGGGTCAGAAACAAAGGGTTCAGGGTGTGGGCAGGAGCTCAGGGCTGGGGCAGGGAGTTCGAGTGCTGGAGGAGGTTCAAGGGTATAGGCTCTGCAAAGGAGATCGGGTGTGGGTGTCGGGTCTCTAAGGGAGTTAAGGTGTGGAAATTGTTCTGAGCTAGGGCAGGGGGTTAGAATGCAGGAGAGGGTTTGGAGCACAGGGAATGGTGGGATTTGCCTTGCAGTGATGCAACAGGGCCAAGGCAAGCTCCCTGCCTGCTCTGGCCCCGTGCAGCTCCCTGAAGCAACTGGCATGTCGGGTCCTTAGGCGGCGGGGCCAGGCAGCTCTGCGTGGTGTGTATTGACTACATCTGTAGGCATAGACCCTTGCAGTTCCCATTGGCTACAGTTCTCAGCCACTGAGGGTGGGGGCAGTGCATGGAGCTTCCCGGATAGCACCTTAGGTCCACAGGGTTAGCTTGGGGCTTCTGGCCCATGGCATGAAGACTGGCCACAGACCAGATGAAATGAAGCAGCAGGCTGGATCCGGCCCACAGGCCCTAGGTCCCCCACACCCAGACTAGATAATCACGATGGTCCCTTTTGACGTGAAAGTCTGTGAGTCTATTTTTTGAAAGTCAGACTGTGCTGTATTTTAACAGCAAGTATTAAATATTAAAGAAGAATGGGTGGGAAGTAGGGTCATTCATTAGAATAGTTTACATTGGTCAGCATTCTAACTATTACAGGTAGTTTGACTTGTTTACTCTGTAGTTCTGACAGCGTGGACTCACAGCTGAACAGCTTGTGAAACATATAGGATTGGGTGTAGCATGGTAGGGCAACAGGACTGAGTTTGCTGTTTATCTTTACAATGACCTGTGTGATCCTCCGTATTCTGGGACTCTGAGGTTTTTGTGAGATATGATAATACATAGCCTTAACGCAGGGGTGGGGAACCTTTTTTGAGTTGGGGGCCACTGACCCACAGAAAAATCAATTGGGGGCGGCACACAACTGAGAAACAAAACAAAAACAATCCTCACTGATGTGGGCCCCGACAGAAGGAAAAAGACACGCCCCACCTTCAACATGCAAGGTGCTAGGGGGACCCAGCCTAGTAGATTTTGTGTGTTCCAGCCCCACGGGCTCCACAATGCAGGGCAGGGGGAAAAGGGGCAGATCCAGGCAAGCTGGGGGCTACATTCAGCCTCCAGGTGTTAGGTTCCCCACGCCTGCCTTAAAGTGTCAGCTCAACACAAATTACATCACAATTTTAACTTATGTGTTCATTTTGAAGTGTCTTTGCATTACTTTGTGTTATGTTTACCTGCTTTTCCTTTTCCATCCCATCTTCAGAATATGTGTGCCACATATCTCATAGTATGCTGACTCACAGTGACAACTGAGTTTGTTTTGTATGTAGTATAATGGCTTTTTTGTCTGCTATAATGGCTGAAGTGCATAACAGATTAAGATTCTACCAAAGCATCTAGCTAATGAAGATAGTCTCTTAACTCAAGTACTTGTGGGCATATCTGAAGGTCTAGGGTCTTCACAACTACAAGAAAGGAAACAACATGAACTGCCTCAAAAATAAGTTTCTAAAGTTATTATTGTGAGAAAAGTCACCACAAGCTAATAAGAGGGGTTATTTTTATGCACTGCCACACATTGCTTACCCTTTGTAAACTTGTGCATCTTGTGCAGGTCACTGAGACTGGCCTTGTTAGGAGAGTGGGTAGGTTGATAATGAGGATGTGCACCAAAGAAAGTTTCCTGGACACTTGGCTCAGCTTGTGCAATAGAACGTCTTCTTCCATCTTTGTTGGTTTATTTGCTCCAAATTGTAAGTCATGGGATCATCTTACCCAGTAAAGTGATAGATTTTCTCTTCAGTTTGAAATCTCAAGTTAGCTGGGTATAAAATAGAAGCAATAACATATACCAATAATCAGAAAATTCACCTTCAAATTGATAAATCTACCCATCTCAGCTGAACAGTCTTTGTTACAATAAGTTAAAATGCATTCTTTGACCCTGAATCACTGACAGAATATTGTGGAATATTTTACTGGCGAGACCAGGGGTGAGCAATAATTTCTAATGAGGGGCACTAAGATTTTGTAAAGTGGATATAATTTATATCCATGATATTAATGGAGGAGATGCAGGTCTGGGATGGAGATTGGGTGCAGAAAGGAGCTTAGGGTAAGGGATTGGGGTGCAGGAGGGAGAATGGAGTCTGGGAGGGAGTTTGGGTAAAGCAGGCGGTTGTGACCGAGGGCAGGGGACTGGAGTGCATGGGTTCGAGATGTGACCTAAGGCAGGAGGGGATTGTGATCTGGGGCAGGAGTTCGGGATGCCAGATCTGGGAGGCGGGATGGGTGTAAGATAGGGGCAGAGGGTTTGGGTATGTTGAGTGGGGGGACAGAGGGTTGCGAAAGGGAGGGACTGGGATGCCAGAGGCAGGCTCTGGCCAGGAGAGTTACCAGCCAGCAGCCAAACCAGCCTGCCTGCCTGCAGGGCTAAAAGTTTGTAGAGCTTAAAACCTTTCCCAGCCAGCCAGCCTGCCAACCTGGCCATGTGCTTGTGTGAATAACTGAGCTGAGGGGAGGAGGCATGGTTCTTCTTGGCTGACTGTTATTCAAACAGGCAGCTCCCATTGGCCAGTTTCTGGCCAGAAACCGGCCAATAGGATTGTGCTGGGGGGTGGAAGACAGCTCCCGAAGCTTTTCTCCCTCCCCTCTGGAATTAGTTTTGAAACAGAAACAGGGCACGGAGCCACGTTTCTGAGTGGCATGCAGGGAAGCCTGCCTGCAGCTCCCCACTGCCTCTGTGGGCCAGATCTGGTGGTTTGGTGGGCTGGATCAAGCCCACGGGCCGTATTTTGCCAAGGCCTGGGCCAGACCCTTTCAGCTTGTCTAACATAGCAGATTCCTCCGAACTGACTTCTCCATTACTACTTTTATCTATCTCTTTAAATATGATAGACTAGCAAGCGAGGCCCATCATTGACTGGGCAAAGTCATTTTGCATAGATGACACATAGGGAAGTTCAAGAAATGAAATATATGTAATAGAATTTTTTATTAAAGTGCTTGCAAAAGGCAAATAAAAGAACAGTTTAAAATTTGTAGGATTTCAACTTCAAACTTTATTCATTTTATTGAATAATTACCATACGTAATACATTTGAATCAGGAATTTGTAAAGCTTCCATTACTTTTTCTGTAACTAATTTGAATTATTTTGTGGTTTGTAACAGTAAAAATTTTCTTTGCACTAAAATGAAAGTTGAATAGGTGACTTGATTTTAATTTTGTTAGCACAAATTTTTTATGAACTCTAACCATAATAGTCATGACTTTTTTCTGATGAAAAACAAAAATAATTTTTTAAATCTTTCACCCAGCATACTCCAGTATATAAAGTTGTGCATTCAGCTAATTTAAGTGGCAGGATTGTTTATGCAAAATGTGGTATCTGTAGGTAATCCTGAAGTATGACTTTATTTTGCACAAACAAATCCACAAACAAACAAATTCTTCAAAATATATAATAGATAAATCCTGTGGGGATTAATAAACAAAAAGTTTAAAATGTGTAATATTAATTTTTATAATTAATTTCCCCTGGTAAGAGGACTGCCAATGATATATCTAGTTTCCAACCTGCTGTTACTATGAAGTAGTCCTGCTACTAACATGGTTTGTGTATCAGTTTTTGTCAATTTACTCTGGGAATGGCTAACTTTTCTCAACTAGGAGCCTGTTGAAGTTATTGGAGGGGTTCCATTTACTCCTGTGAGTTCTGGAACAGGCCCTGTAGATGCAGTTTGCCTAAATTGCTAAATCTTCAATCCAGGAGTGTGATCCAGATTAGGATTATGCAACTAGTTGGTTCAGAGCACTCAAACCAACACTTTTCTTCTGTTGATTTCACGTGACAAATATGTTTATTATATTTGCTGTCCTGATTTGGATTCATCTGTTTCAGTGGCAAGCCAGGTACCTGTTTTATAAACATGGCAAATGATAAAAATATCATGAAATATGTAAAGCACTGATTAAATTAAAAATAAAAAAAGATTTACTGGGATTTTTGGGGTAGTACAAAGACAAATTTGTGTTTTTCTTCCATGAGGCTAAATCAGCATATGACCTGACATGTTATTAAGAAAGTATCTGGTGGACTGTCCAAGATAAAAATTTCCATTGATTTTTCCATTAAGTAAGTTAAGGTATAATTGCATGTAAAATGAATACCCTTCTTATCTATTTTGCAAAATGTATACCTCACAGATCTTTATAAAGATTTCCCCCATCTTTATTCTAGAGTTTGGGAAAAGAAATAATGAAATACTGAAAAAAGAATAAACAGAGATGAGGTTGGAGACAGGAGCACCCAAGGGTTTGAAGGTCAAATCCTTTCCCCCTTTAAAATGTGCAGTTAAATGTCAGATAGTGGCAAGAGTTATGGTGCATTCCTGAGACTGCAGCAGCACAGATGGAGGAGGATTCTGTAGAATCTTCTTAGAGAACTCCAACCTATAGAAAGCTCCCCACTGGTGAGAGTTTTGGTCAGGGGAGCTACATAATCACATTTATCCTCCACAAGTTTAGCTAGTCCTATGACATCCTTTTTCTTTTTGATCCCCGGATTAGCCTCCCAATCCTGATATAATTTAGCTGCATTTAAGTCACTTCAGAAGGAGCAGAAGTTTATCCTAACAAAGATATAAAAGCGAGAAACACCCTAACAGCCTGAGTTGGAGAAGTCTCCCAGGGGACCATGACGAGGTTAAGAGAATGAATAGATGTGGTGTGAGTGATGGATGTGAAATGATGATGGCTGGATTCTTGTAAGTCAGGAATAGTTCAATACTGTGTTACTGAGTGTAATGGGAACTGGATCAGGCCCAAAATGCTGGAAGTTTGTTCCATTCACTTCTAGTTAAATTTAAGCGCTTAGCAAATATTACCACATCAACGCCACATCCCAGTTTAACTGTACTTATCCATATGCATTCCATGCACAGTACTGACTGTATTCAGCTCCCTTGCTTGTGTAACACTTCTGTCAGGCCGAGTTAATAGCAGCAGGGCCGAGTTCAGTATCTAAGGGTCTCCTCCCAACAAGGTAATACAACACTGGCTCGAGCCCCCACCCAGTGATCTGGGAAATCGTACATATACCCCTGGGAGCCTCAAAGAGGCAATTCTTCCCCTCTCGCGAGCACAGAGCCTTGGTATAGCAGCAAATCTTTAATAACATGAGGTAACTGACCTCAGCATTAAACTGGGAAAACACCACAACTCGGATTCATAGACCACACATGAGCAAAGACCCCCCCCCCAGCCGCGAATCACCCAAAGTCCCCAAAAGTCCAACACCACAAAAGTCTCTCCCCCAGGTCAGTACTGCCTCAGGGTTCAAAAGTTCACCTGGCAGGGTTTTACCACCCCAACTTGGAGGAGGGTGGAGGTTGATACACCTTACGTGGTCCGCCAATGGCTCCGCCTCTCCGTAGGGTTCTGCGGCTGCTGTCAACGCGAGTCACTCGCCACACTCCACCTGCTGTCCCATGAGCCGCCTCAGCCATCCCACGAACTGCTCTGCTCCTCCAGCTGTCCTGGTCCACGCCCCTGGCCACCAGCTGGTTGCTCCTGCAGCTGCTCCACTGGCTGCCTGCTGCTGCTACTACCAGCTGCCCACAGGTCATCCTCGCCAGCTGCTCTGCTGGCCACCTGCACCCGCCAGTCATCCCCACAAACCGCTCTGCTGTTAGATCAGCAGTATAGCGTCAGGCTCCCCACAGCAAGGCTGTGTCTGCATTGGCATGGTTTTGCACAAAAGAAGCTGCTTTTGCGCAAAAACATGCAACCTGTCTACACTGGCGTTCTAATCAGTGCTTCTTGCGCAAGAACTATGATGCTCCTACTCAGGAATAAGCCCTCTTGCGCAACTGTTCTTGCGGAAGAGGCCAGTGTAAACAGGCAACGTGAATTTCTTGCTCAAGAATGCCCGATGGTTAAAATGGCCATCAGAGCTTTCTTGTGCAAGAGAGTGTCTACACTGGCACAGATGCTCTTGCTCAAAAACACATCTCTTGCGCTAAGGCACATGCCAGTGTAGACGCTCCCTTGCGCAATCGGTGTCGTTTAGGCCCTCAGGCAGGGCCCCACCACCAGGTACAAAGACCTGTCCCCAGCCTTTCTCAACTTGACTGGGTTTGGAACCCATACCCCTTGTCTAGGCGGGGTTGGTGTGCCTATGCACATGAGATCAGACCCTGAAGTCTTTTTGCACCACTCACCACAATTCACCACCAGATGTCAGGGTAGAGCTTATCTTGACCCAGCTTACACTTGCATTTTGCTTCAATAAGTCTGGTGTTTCAGTTCACTTTGGAACAGCTGGCCAGGATTGCCCATTTTTGCATCATAAAGATTTAGAATTTTTTAAAGTTCTGTTTGGAATTTGCTTGAAATATTTCTGTGATTCCAGTAAAGCCTGAAGGGAAATGTTCTTATGATATATATTGGAAAAAAATTAAAGTAATCAGTTTGACACATTCTGTTTTAAAATATTTATTTATGGATTTCATTTTATGTGCCATAATTGTGTATTTGGAAAAAATATATAGCTGGCATTAGTAGAGATTGTGCATACAGATACAGTTACAAATGATTTTATTCATAAAGCAGTAATACCCTTACAGAGCAAAATTGATGGAAGCAGTTTATCATGAAAACATGTCTTCAATTTTTCATTAGTATATTTACTTGGAATTTTGGACTCCAAAAAATGTTGTTTTCAGGAGACAAGAAGATCTGCAGCGAGGCAGGTGAAAACCCACATAGCTTTTTTTACTTGACATTTTGCAAAGGCACCATGCAAAAATGTATGGCAGCAGTTTTCCCTAGCAGTCATTAGGGTCAACTGGATTAAAGACAAGATTTGGAACCTGAAGGGATTGAGTTTATCTCTGATCAATGGTCTTGACAATCTATTGCATTTTATTTCATAAACTAAAAAAATTCCTATAAGTATACTTCCGACAAATGGAAGTGCTATGAGGTTCAGTGACTTTCCCAAGGTCTCAGCAAGTTATTGTCTGAACCAAGATTAGAAAGGCTTCCTGACTTCTAGGCAGCCAAATCACTTAACTTCTTATACACTAAGTTTCCCCACCAATAAGATGGGGACAATACATTCAGTTTGCAAAGCTCTGTGAGTAGAAAGTGTTGTTAAGGACAGTGAGGGTTCATCTACACAGCACCTTAAACGTGAAATAAGACATTCAATTTGCATTATTCAAATTGCATAGCTAATTTTGAAATAATATGCTATTTTGAGCCATCCCTTAACCCTTGTGCAGGCACATTTCTAAGACATGGGGTAGCTACCTTGGTATCCTGAAATATCTCCACTGTGTAGATGTAGCGTGAGGTAACTCAGCGTGTCCTGGCTTCTAGACCTCAACTAGACCTCAACTTCTTTCGCTGAATGTAGCGTGAGGTAACTCAGCGTGTCCTGGCTTCTAGACCTCCACTTCTTTCGCTGACTCCAAGTTGGGAGGGACTGGTCAGAACTCATCAGAGAAGGGTTTTTGAACCCCTCTGAAGTCCAGGGGTATTAAGATGCAGAGTTTTGATTAAGACCCTTTGTGTAACTCCACATGGAAACTGTATCCAGTTTTTATTACAAATTGCAAATGGCTGCCAATTCATGCTACATGTTGTTGATAGGAGTTTGTTAACTGTAGTTTTAGGAAACATTTGGGCTTTCAAGTGCCTAATCTCATTTCTACTAGTGATTTTTTTCTGCTTTATTTGATAGTTTTATTTGCTGTATGTTCTTTTGTTTTTATAATCTATTTAAATGGCGAGTAGCCATGCTTAAAATATTATGATCTTTATTTATCTTTATTTCAATGCCAGAAATACCATATGTATGAAATACTAGAAATATTCTGAAATCAAATTCTAGTAATGCTAAATATCCAAACAAAAACATAAAGAAGATTTTGGTATAGTATGAATATTGAGGAAAATTTGAATGTATTTAAGCTAGCACTAAAATGTAGTAAATAATGCCTTTGTGGGCTTTTGATATATGTGTTCCCATTAGCTTTAAAATTACAGTGGGTTATGAATGATAAATCATTGTTTGAAAAAGGAACTCTTTTTATGCACTATGTAAGATTATTTCAGGTAGAATTATATACTACAATTTCTGCTTTGCCAAGTGGAGTCATTCTCAGAGGATTTGTAGACTTGATTAAATAAATGCATAAGGGCAATGACTTAATTTAAAAAAAAAAGGAAGTGACAAAACTCAGGAGGAGTGTTGAGAATGGAAAATGACTGAAGTTATTTTACCTCCTGAGTGTAGATAAGAATTTGCAAGGATTTAAAAAATGCCAAAAACCTCAGAAAGAACCCAATATTTTTAGGCCTGAAATCATGTGGGTCAGTTTGCTAGACTGGTCTATGGAGGGATTTTGGGGCACTGCACTACAATCTAGTGAAGAAAAATAATGAGCCTTATCTTTCAAAACAATTATTCATGTGAGTAAGGGATGCATGATTGGCCAATGATAATTTTCATTTCTAAGCTTACAGGTGGCAATAATTGCTTTGTAGAAAATTGATGTACTGTAATATGAGAAAAAATAGAAGAATTTAGCATCTGAGTGACAGCTCTGTGTTTTAGAATATTTTAGATGTGGGTAACAAGCTAATAAAAAATTTGTTTTCTTGGAATTCAGTATTCTTTGTGGCAAAACTATAAATATATTTTGTTGTGTTTAATGTTTTCATATGCTTAGTATTGGCCATAGAATTTTCATAGTCTGCATCCTCCGCCAATAACTACCATTTGAAAAGTCCTCTTTTCAAAAAAATAGGGATGAAGTTTCCTATATTCATGTTTACACTTGGAAGTGTTCAGTGCCAGTTTTCCAACTATAGCTGATTACCGCTCACTTAAAATGGGCCTTCTTCATTTGTAATTTTTAAAATTTCCAGTGTATCAGTTTAACATTACTGCTTTCCGATTGGTTGGG